CCCTTTGCAGAGAGGAGGCTCAGAGGATCCCCTGCTGACTCCAGGCAGAGGAAGGCAGAGGCTCAGGCAGCTCCTGGAGGAACTGGGAGCCCCTCTCCCCACCGGGCTCCGGAGCCATGAGCAGCGCTGTGGTCCTCACCCACCTCCCAGACCCCAGCAGCAGCTTCAGGGAAGACGCCCCCCGACCCCCTGTCCCGGGGGAGGAAGGAGAAGCACCATGCCCGCAACTCGCCAGCTCGTTTCTCCCCAAAAGCCAAAGCTTCAAGGCCATGCCGGTGCCTCCTGCCCCGCGGAGGAATGAGAACGGCCTCGGGGAGCCGGAAGGCAGCGCATCTCCAGACTCCCCTCTGGCCAGATGGACCAAATCCTTGCATTCCTTGTTGGGAGATCAAGATGGTGCCTATCTTTTTCGGACCTTCCTGGAAAGGGAAAAATGTGTGGATACCTTAGACTTCTGGTTTGCCTGCAATGGCTTCAGGCAGATGGACCTTAAGGATACCAAAACTTTACGAGTAGCCAAAGCTATATACAAAAGGTACATCGAGAACAACAGCATCGTCTCCAAGCAGCTCAAGCCTGCTACCAAGACCTACATAAGGGATAGCATCAAGAAGCAGCAGATAGATTCTATCATGTTTGATCAGGCACAGACTGAGATTCAGACTGTGATGGAGGAAAATGCTTACCAGATGTTTTTAACTTCTGATATATACCTCGAATATGTACGGAGTGGAGGAGAGAATCCTGCTTACATGAACAGCAACGGACTGGGGAGCTTAAAGGTTGTCTGTGGCTATCTCCCGACCTTGAATGAAGAAGAGGAATGGAGCTGTGCAGACTTTAAAAACAAAATCTTGCCTTCGGTAGTTGGACTATCCAGCAAGACGTTGAGGGTTACGGCCAACGTCAGAGCTACGGAAACGATCGAGAACGGATACAGGTAAGGGAACCCCTGGAAACTGTGCTTTGTTTGGACTTTGAGGACTTTGAGAGTGCCTTTTGGGAAGGCTGGTGGGGTGGCGTGCAGGGGAGCTGGCAGGGAGGCTGGGCTGCCCATGGGGCTGGGAGCACGGGTGCTTCCCTGCGCCTCCAAACCCTGGAATTTGGGGGGCGTTGGCTGGGTTTGGTGGGGTGTTTTGTTTTTTTTCCCCCCTCTGTACAGAGTAAAACAAGATACTGTGCTCTTAGAGCCCTGTTGGCTCTTTCAGTTCTCTTGTAGATCAAAAACTTCATAGCAACTATGTCCTCCGGACATGCGTTAATTATTGGTTCAACTTTCAAACCTATTAAGAGCAGTAGTAGAGTGGATCATATAGACGCATGAATAATGTAACCTACTAGTATCCCCAGCTCCACCGTCAACCAGTGTTTAACTACGTTGGTTATGTGGGAAGCAATTGTGCGGTCTTGGAGGAGGAAATGTATGCGCTTATTACATCAAACTCTGCAACTTGCACAAAATCTGCTTTTATTTTGACTCTGTGTGTGATGTACAGCCTCTCCCATCGCATTGGGTGTCGGTATCGTGTCAGACCTATTTAGGGTGGCTTTGAGCCAATGCATACAGGAGGATACTTAAAATTGAGGACTTAAGGTAATAGAGATGTTCCAGGTAGAGAGTAATAGTCGATCTTTGGTGCTTTCCTGTAGGTCTTTGGTGCTCTCGTGTTGACCGTGTGCTCAAAGTTGAACTCCTTGAAACGTGGTTGTGTCTAATGGCAGCTCCCGAGGATGTGGGGAGTGTTGTGTGGTGGCAGGGTCGTCCTGTGCCCTTGGCTCAGGGTGCATCTGCCTTGCCAAACCCTTCTCTTTTGTGGGAAATGTTGATGGCACAGTGATGTGAGGGTGAAGAAAGTAAGAGCCATCTCGAAGTGCGGGGGGGAGGGATGGGGAAGAGAGACTCTGATGAGCAAATGATGAGTTGTATAATCCTCTGAAAATGTATTCTTTCCTCTCCCCACCCTTGCCATAAATGTGGATTGTTGAATCAGGGCTGAGAGGAGAGGGCTCCGCTGGCAGATGTGCGCTCTCCTCTGCTGGCCCAGGAGGTTGGGGTTTGCTATGGTGAGTGTTTGACATCTCGTTTACAGGGATTTTGAGAGTGTGTCTGTGATTCATGGACATCAAAGGGCATCAGGCTTCTCCTGGGGAGGCTTTGCTGGAGTGTGCCCTCCTCTCCTGCCCTGCAGAGGAATTCCAGCTGTGCTGGGCTTCCTGGTGCCGAGCCCTGGGAGCTGGGGGGGTCCCTTGCCCGTGAGGGTGCTGCTGAGCCAGAGGCCTCCTTGGTCCTCTGCCTCTCCTGGAGGCCCTCCCTGCCCGCCGAGGGTGATGGGGCTGGTGGGAGTGGGCAGGAGGGATGCGCTGCGCCCCGCCGTGCCCTCTGCACCTCTCCTGCTGGGGGGCTGTGCCCGGGGGGGGGGGCACTCGCTGGCAGCTGCTCTGGGGAGGACTTGGGGCTTGGGATCCTCATCTCGTGCCTGAATGTTACCGTCTGAGCATCTGCTGTTCTCCAGAACTTGGTTTGAACTGCTGCCCTTCGCTTGCTTTCCAGGAGGGGGATGTTTGATGCTTTTATCTCTCAGCCTTTGTTGGTATGCAGTGCTGGAAGGGCTTGGCTGTAATGTTCTACCAGAGCTGCAGGCCCTGCTAAAAACCCACATGTGCCTTGTCCGGGAGAGCTCTCGCAGAATAGTGGCTGCTTGCCTGATTAGCGCTTTTTTTTTTTTTTTTTTTTTTTTTCTCTTTTCTTTTTTGTCCAGGGATTAATGCAGCTTGCTCCTCACATGTCAGATCTACCCTCCTAGGACATTAGGTAGTGCATTTTGCTTTGATCACCTTCTGTTGAATTTCCAGGAGCTTTTGCTCTCCATGGGGCCAAGAGATCTCAATGCAAAGTGAGGGAGGTCAAGCTGAGATGCTTCTCAGTTCCTCCCTGAGCTATCAGTTTGTGAAGCCACTTGTGCGTGCATGTGCTAGAAGCTGATGAGCATATGGATGGGTTATCTCTCATCACTCAGCGTTTAGGATCGCGTTTAGGATTGGAGCTGAAGCTTGCACAAAGTCTTTGCTGGTGAGTGGCCAAACCACACCTCCCTCCTCGTGTGTGTGATGGTATTAAAGAATTTCTGCTCAGCGCGTTATGGTTTTGAAGTGCTGTGCAGGCTCTTGCCATTCGCTTCGGTGGGTTTCAATGTGATTATACCCGCAAAAGCCGGGAGCGCTGGGCTGAGCACACCTGATGGTGGGAGCAGAGCGATCTCGGGCCAGCCCGCTATTTGGATGGGAGACCACCTGGCAGTCCCAGGGCACGGAGTCAGGGCCAAAACCACGGCAAACCACAGAAACCGTACCAGTTGAAAGACTTTGTTTGGCCCCAGCATCAGTGATGGACAGGAACAGGAGAAGTCAAGTGAAAACACAGCGTTTGCACCTGGCTGCAGAACGGGCGCATGCATGCGAGCTGCTGGTTGTATATTTGGAGCCCTAATACAGGGAATATTTTAAACGCAGAACCTCCCTCTTGTCCTTCAAAGCGACTCCCCTCCCCTGTAGGTTGTGGTGCGGTTAAAACTGGCCTCCCCACACTGCGCTGGACCTGGCCCCATGCTCCAGGAATTCCAGCTATTATTTATACGTGCTTCTAAATTTATCACACACGACTTTGTGTACACAGAGAGCTCTTCTTCCTTTGCAGTGCCGCCGTGTAACGTGGTTTCGTTCAGTCCAAGGTGGACTCATCTGCCTCCCATTAAGCTCTAACATCAGTGGGACTGGCCTTGCTTTGAGAAGGCTGGGGCTTGCAGATGGCCTTCTGCCGGCTCCCAGTGCTTCCTGGCCTTTGAAAGGACCCGCCGGTGGAGCTCCTTGTGTGTGAAGTTATTGGAACCAAGTTTGGCTTCAATTATCAAAGTAAATGATGCCATTGTAAAGCTATGCTCCAAGCAGTGTTCTACAATTAGAGCATGGAAGCTGTGATTAACATAGTTGTGCTAAAATATACTATTTTTTTTTTTTTTTTTTTTTCAGGTTTGTGCATGCTTTTTTTTTTTCCTTTTTTGTTTTTAAACCCATGATTGCCCAGTGATGTCTGTCCCAGGAAAACACTTAATGAGATTCCATTTTGCCTCAAAATGCTTCCTTGTAGAATTTCTTCTCTCTCTGTATAAAGCTGTGGTTTGAAACTGCCAGAGTGCTTTTATTCCTAGGAAGTAGAGTTTGACAATTAAAAAAAAAAAAAACCACACTCTGAAATTGCACCCTCATAACAGGGGATAACAACCAAAAGCCCCTGAAATTTTCATGGCATTATAATACCTCTGATATGTCCATTGCCTAACATAGCACATAGAGAGTTACATGCTGTGTGTCATCACATCAAGATAAGAATAGGCCGAGAAACATCAGACATTCTCCTTGAAGCTCCAGAGCAACTGCTACCTGACAGCTGAAAACACTTTGCATATTGAGTTTGGAGCTGGGGTGTGTGTTTGTGCGTGTAGCATCTGCGGCAGGAGACCACCGCTTTCCACTGGAATTTAAAACCCTTGCAGGCAACTTGATGCATCTGGGCGCAATTACTGTAGTAAGGTGGTCAAAATAAAATAAAAATTTTTAAAAAATTAAACATAGCAAACCAGCCCTCCTTGGTTTTCTTAAAGGATGTGGGGATTTCTGGGGGGCGGTGTGTTGGAGGTGGAGTGTGGGGGTTTATTTTTAAAAGTATGTGAACTTTAGGGGGTTTTGTTGTTTTTTGTTGTTTTTTGGGGTTTTTTTTTTGTTGCTCATAAGGTGCTGATATGTGAATCAGTGCTGCAGTGCAGTACTGATGGGAAGATGAGTTAGTTCTGGCCACTTTCTCTAACTGTCTCTTGCCAAACGCTGCGTTTGGACACACCTCCTCTCCCTGTGCTGTATTCATAGGGTCCTGCTGCCTCCGCCCCCGCCCCAGCCTCTCCAGCTGGAGGACCATGGCACATCAGCCCTCCTGGGTGCAACCAGGGGTGGCACAGACAGCTCCCACCAAGGTGGTGGGCTTGTGCTGGGGAGCAGCCTGCACCCGGAGCCTCCAGGAGCATCCTGCACCCCTGAGCCTCGTGGTCCTCAGATGTGCTCTCCAGACCTGAGATAGTTTCCAAATAGTTGCAAGAGCTGCATCCCTTACGCAGTTGACCCAAAAGCCCCCCCAAGGCCCTAGGAAGGGTCACTTGGACTGCACATCCCCCTGAATCAGAGTAGGAGGCTACGTGGGTTTTAGAGGAACTTTTTTGTAGCAGTAGTAGGATAACTTAGCTTTCACCCACATGTGGAATTAATTTATCTTTGAAGATTTAACTTCTTTCCTGTGACATTCCTTACTATCTCTCTTTTTTTTTTTTTTCTTCTTCCCAGATATATATTTTTTAACATCTTGATCTCCCCATCAGAAATGCCTTGGCCTCCTTCGCAAAGGAATGCAGCCCCGGCTGGGCTGAATACCTGCCTGCAGCCAGCCCCGTGCCTCTCATACCAGAGAGGCCTATCTTCCCCACCATGCTTCCCCCTCCTTTTTTTTTTTTCTTTTCTTTTTTCCCCCCCCCCCCC